CCACCACCTTCTCAAGGGAAACTAGGGACAGCCAGAGTGCCCACATCCCCTGAATAATTAAATAAATGACTAGCATCCTTAGGGAAGGAATCTTCCATCCTCATCTGGACTAGCCTATTATAATTTCAGACCCCATGAGTGCTACTATCTTATAATTGGCCAGTCCTCCTCACTGTCCCCATGTTATAAATGTCAGATATGAGATGCTGCCACTGATCCTTCTTGTTGGTACACTTTGTTTATTGATACCATGGGGGAAGGATGCCCACATGGCATCTGAGACAGTAAATAAGCTCAATCTTGATGAAGAGTAATTAGGTTTATTATATATAATGGCCAGCTACATTTCATCTAAGAGATAGGATTGCCTGTTGTGGGACATCAAAATATAGGAGCAGGAGTAGGCCATTCAGCCCTTTACCTGCTCCAACATTCAATATGATCATGGCTGATCATCTAACTCAGTTCCCAGTTTAAGCTTTCACTCCATAGCCTTTGATCCCTTTAGCCTTAAGAACTACATCAAACTTCTTCTTGGAAACACTCACTGTTTTGGCCCCAACCACAGAATTTCACACTCACCACTCTGAGTGAAGAAATTTCTCCTTTTCTCAGTCCTAAATGGCCTACTCCCATACCCTTATATTGTGTTTCCTGGTTCTGAAATTCTCTGTCATTAGGACTATCCTTCTGGCAGTTAGCTTGTCTAATCCTATTAGAATTTTATAGGTTTCTATGAAATCCTCCCTATTCTTTTAAACTCCAGTAAATATAGTCCCAACCAATTCAGTCTGTCTCCCTATATCAGTCCTACCATCCCAGGAATCAGGCTGGCAAACCTTTGTTGTGCTCCCTCCAAAGACAGAACACCCTTTCCCAGATGAGGAGAATAAAACCCTACATAGTACTCTATGGGTATCACACCAAGGCCCTGTACAATTGCAGCAAGGCATCCCTGATCCTGTATCAGACTCACCTTAAGTGTAAGCTTCTGACACCACTACATCATTAATACTAGTACATTTGCACACAGCATTGACAACAAGCACAGAACCAGACATAGAACCAGTTAGCCCCTCCCAGGATGTCCTTTATATCCTGATGAGTGCAGCCTATCTCATAATGTCAGTCAATCCTTTCAGGTCCTAATACATAGTCCACATGTGACTCCAGATCCACAGCAATGACTCTTAACTGCCCTCTGAAATTCAGCAAGCCACTCAGTTCAAGGGCAATTAGTGATGGATAACAAATGCTTGTCTCTCTAGTAACATCTCTATCCCATGGAAGAATAAAAAGATAAAGAAAGGTAAAGTCTGCTAATGCTCATTGGACACTGCATATAACAACACAGGAAGTGATGCAACATCACATGACCTTGTCTTGCAGTCTTATGGAGGGATGAAGCTGCAGTAAGAAAAATAAAATTAAATAAAGTGAATGTTTTCCTTGCTTCATAAGATTGTAAATATTCTTTGGGAGCAAAATGAGACAAAGAATATTATAGGAATAAGGGATGAAGAAGTTCAGTTCTTCTTTTCATTGAAATGATTGGCACAAAATAACTAAAGATAATGTGAGGAAAAACATTTTTAACGCGATGGGTGATTAGGCTACGTCTGTGGTGGAACAGATTGAATCATAACTTTCAAAAATTAATTGGGCAATTAAATGAAGTGAAATATTTTAAGATCTACAGGGAAAGGTTAAGTGAATGCAATTAGTTGAGTTGCTATGCAGAGAAATGGGAGGGACATGAAGGCAGAATGACTTCTTTCTGTGCTAAAACTATTCTATGATTTGAAGGATAAAGCTGGATAGAATATAACGTGTCAATTGTACTGAATTTTCAATGGTTAGGTTGCTTATACAATCACATCTTTTGTTTCCAAGGTTTACGTTGAAGAGACAAATATATCACTGGTCCATTTCTGGGCCTTCTACACACAATGTTAGGGTGTCTTAATTTAAATTTATGGGTACACACAATGTTAGGGTGTCTTAATTTAAATTTATGGGTTTGAAGACACTTAAGGCATCAAAGGCTATGAGAAAAATGTAGGAATATGACATTGAGATAGAAGATTAGCCATGATAATATTGAATGGTGGAAAAAGTTTGATGGGCTAAATGGCCTACTGCTCCTATTTTCTATGCATGGGTTTTGATTCTTGCCTCTAGGCCAATATTTCAAAATTTGGACAGTAGCAACTTCTTCATCCCAATGAGCAGCTGCAAAAACTCCATTATGTGACTGGACTTTCACCCTTGCATTTTTTGGCTACAAAGGTGTTTTTCAGACTGGAGGTCTGTAACTACTGGTGTTCCATAGCGATTGGTGCTGGATCCACTTTTGTTTGTCATTTATATAAATGATTTGAATGAGAATTTAATGGGATAGTTAGCTAGTTTGCGGATGACACTAAAATTGGTGGTATAGCAGACAGTGAAGAAGGTTATCTAAGATTACAAGGAGATCTTGATCAATTGGGCCAATGAGCTGAGGAGTTTAATTTGGATAAATGCTAGGGATTGCATTTTGGTAAAACAAATAAAGGGCAGGACTTGTACTGTTCAGGGAAGGGCCGTGGGTAGTGTTGTCGAACAGAGAGACATAGGGATTCAGATACATAAAGCTGCGTCACAGGGTGGTTCAGAAGGCATTTAGCACACTTGCTTTCATTGCTTAGAACATGAGTATATGAGTTGGGATGTCATGTTGAGGTTGTACAGGACATAGGTGAAACCTCTTCTAGAATACTGTGTCCAGTTCTGGTCACCCTGTGAAAATTGGAGAGGGTGCAGAAAAGATTTACCAAGCTGCTGCTGGAACTGGATGGTTTGGTTTATAAGTAGAGGCTGCATAGGTTGGGTTTTTCTCCCACTGGAGCAAAGGAGGTTGAGGTGTGCCCCTATTGAGGTTTTATAAAATCATGAGGGTCAACGGTAAAGTGAATAACAATGGTATTTTCCCTCGGGTGGGGGAGTTCAAAACTAAGCGTCATAATTTTAAGACAAGAGGAAAAAAGATTTAAAAGGGACCTGAGAGGCAATGTTTTCACACAGAGGGTGGTTTGTATATGAAATGAACTGGCAGAGCAAGTGGTAGATGCAGGTACAATTACGATATTCAAAAGACATTTGGATAGGTACATGAATAGGAAAGGTTTAGAGGGATATGGGCCAAATACAGGCAATTGGGACCAGTTTAGTTTGGGAAAACTTGGTTGGCATGGACGAGTTGAACCGAAGGCTGTGTTTCTGTGCTGTATGATTCTATGACTCAATGACCATCCAACTCCACCCACCCTCATCTCACCTGTCACTCCAGCCACTTGGGGACCTCTGAACCTCTTTGGCCATTCAATAAGATCATGGTCAATCTGAATACTCCACATTCCCACCTAACCCCAGCAATCTTTCCTTCACCCCTCGCTTAACAAGAATCGATATGTCCCTACTTTAAAAGTATTCAGAGATTCTACCTCCACTGCCTTTTCCAGGAAGTCAGTGCCAAAGACTCACCACCATCTCCAAGAAAAAGTTGAGCCCTCATCTCTGACTTAAATGGATGAACCCTTATTTTAAACAGTGATCCAACAGAGCTCATGAAGTACAAACGACTTCTAGAAAATGTTTAGAGATGAGTTTCAATGCCAGTTTCTTACAGACTGTGGGTCCTTCCTTGGCTTCAGCAGACAGTGATACTTATTCACTGCCATTCTGCTGCATTCAGCTTTCAAGACCATCACAGGGCAAGTAACATAATCAAATGGTGGACCAGGCTTCTGAAGCTAACCAGAATATAACTTGTTATAATCATGGTTTCATATTCTGAAACATTGAGTGAAGATCAGCTTGGTGAGGTATGCAGGGAATTTCAGCAAAAGTAGTGTCATGCATCATGCACCATCAGTTCTGAGGAAGGGTCACTGGACCCAAAATGTTAACTCTGCTTTTTCCTTCACTGATGCTGCCAGACCTGCTGAGCTTTTCCAGCAACTTTGTTTTTCTTCATGCATCATGTACTTTTTTATGGAAAGCATGATTACGTGGGTCTCTTGCCCCTTTCAGTAGGTGATTGGCAAGGCGGTAGGCTAAACAATTTAAAGAAAAAAACTTTGGCATTCTTTTGATTGCTTTCTGGTAGTTGAACTGTACAAGGTGTCCGACTTGGTGAGTGTAGGCAGAGCTACTGCAGTTGCTATAACAGCCCTCACCCTTGGATTAAAGGGGGTAATATGATGCAGGGTTCCTGCAGCTGATCAGGACGCAGTGATCTCAGTGGGAAGGTAGTGCTTGGTCTGTTTTAGTCACCTGCTGAAATCCACACACAGAATGGCCACTTGGGGGAGGCATTGAACCAGTTATTAGTATGGACCTTACTACAATGCATTCAGGATACATTCTGCCCATCCTGCCTCGCAGTTTCTTTCAAAGGGCCATTCTAATTCAGAGATAGTAGGAGCTGCAGATGCTGGAGAATCTGAGATAACAAGGTGTAGAGCTGGATGAACACAGCAGGCCAAGCAGCATCATAGGAGCAGGAAAGTTGACGTTTTGGGCCTAGACCCTTCTTCAGAAAATCTAATTCATCCCATTTCCACGTAAAAATAGGAAACTCAGTATCAACTCAAATCCATACTTTATTAATACAGCGCTTGATGGGGGTCTGCTATTTCAATAGCTCAATGACACCACCTGGTGTTTTACATGGGTTGACTTTTTTTCTTGACTACCCGTGCATAATAATACGGCCAGAACTGCAACTTCAGAAGGACACTGTGGAAATAAAATCCGCCCCTTGAGGTCGTTGTGCGGCTGAAGTCCCGCCCCTTGAGGTCGTCGTCCGGCTGAAGTCCCGCCTCTTAAGGTCGTTGTCAAGTTGAAGTCCCGCCCCTTGAGGGCAGACGGCGAAGGAAACCCCGGTGCACGTCAGGCCGCTTCTGGATGTCTGACGTCATTCGGAATGCAAGAGCGCGCACGCGTGGTTATCGCTTTCCGTGGTAGGGTGCGCGGGCGAGCGTGTGGTCACGTGTCGAGGCCGGAGCGCGCGCGCGCGCCCCAACCGGTAAGGGGAGTGAACCGGGCGTCAGCGGCGAGCCCCGGGCCCTGGGCTGGTCATTGCTGATGAGGATGCTGAGGCCGCGAGTATGGAAACCCTGAAAGTGAAGGACCGGATCCTGGAGAACATCTCGCTGTCGGTGAAGCAGGTGAGAGACTGGAGTCTGCACCACCTTTACCGGCGGATTTAGTGCGTGTCATTACTGCCGACCCGTTTGGTCGCCCAGCAGCACTGCCTGAGACAGGGCGTTGTACAGAGCCAGGCAACAAAAAACTGGCTTCCATTTTTTTTTATTATGAAGCATTCCAGTGTTGTTAGGATTGCACTGTACCATTCTGCCTGTTTTCCAAGCTAAACTGCAGACCAATGTTCTGGGTTAACAACTGCATCCACCTTTTTAATAGAGAAAAGGGGTCTGGGATTGAGCAATCACATTGGCCTGATGAGCTGAATGGCCCTGGACTTGTTTCTTACTTCGCTGTAGGAGCCACGAAAGCGCTGCCTTCTCTGTTATGATGCTTTGTCGTAGGTTGGTAATCTCGACAGGAATCTTTTGACAAAAAAACGCCCTTAATCAACCTCTGTGAAAATATTACCTTGTATGCGTGCATTCTCCATCACTTAGATATTATTTGTGTTTATAACGGGCACCAGCCTTTGGCAAATAATCCTAGTTATTACCACTGAAGTAAATTGCAGAGGTGCTGCTTATAACATTAAATGTTATAGATCAATGGATCCACTAGTCATTTATCACAGTCTGAAGCATGGGAGAAGAACAAAAGAGAAGTACAGCACAGAAACAGGCCCATCGGCCTTCCAAGCCTGTACCGATCATCATGCCCTAACTAAATTTAAATAAAATCTTCTGTCCGTATCCCTCTATTCCCTCCCTATTTATGTAACCACCCAGATGCCTCTTAAATGTCACCAACTTGCCTGCTGCCACCACCTCTTCTAGCAGTGCGTTCCAGGCTCCAACCCTGGATATCCTTATCATGTTGGGGTCAGTCATCACAACAAACCTGTTCATTTAATACTTCACATTTCAAATACATACATATATTTAATGAAAACCAAAAGATCTGCAGATGCTATAAATCAGAAACAAAAACAGAAATTGCTGGAAAAGTTCAGTAGGTCTGGCAGCATCTGCGGAGAAAAATCCGAGTCAATGGTACAGGCGCTTTTTTAACAATACCATTTAGTTTGGACTTCTAAATGTTTTAAAATTGATTAGCAGAAAGTACTATGATGATGTATGGGCCACTACCTCAGTAAACTCTCACGTAGTTTGTCTGCCTTAAATTATGAATAATAAACTATGTCACCAACCCACTGGCTAGGTACAGTGGGAACTGTATTCTGTGCGGATCATTGTAATCTTGCTGAGTAGCTCCTTATTGTCTGTCATATTTGACAGTTCTTAAAGTGAAGCTCGAGGTACTGGGCAACGGGTGCTTTCAATCATGCTTCCACATTTGACTTGTCTAAATTCTGTAAATTTTTGAAGGCAATGTTGATACTGGAGATTGGAAGACTTTCTATTCTGGACACCAATTGTCAGCATCAAGCATGTTAAGTCAAACCGCTACAGAGATCCACATCCTTTGTAATTGAATGACATTCTCTTTATTTTTTTCAATGAATGAAAATTCAAACTAAAATTCAATGACTGACTTTAACATTGTAAATTCTTCAGTGTATTCCAAATCCAATTTATTTTAGCAAAGAAGAGAGCGTGCCTCTTCTTTGTAGAAATGCCTATTCAAGAATTAATATTTGGAGTAAATTCATTGTTAATCCATTCACATTTGCTAAGGAATGTAATAACTAAACATATTTAAATATTTGCACACTGTACCAATATAGGTGTTTGATCATTCTGCCACAGTATGTAACTAGCAAAACAAATACAGCAGCAATTGTTATACAATGCAGAAAAGATCTCATTTATGCTCAGCAGATCCAACATCATATTGAAGAAGTTAATTGTGGGTTCTACTAAAATAATATTCAGTAGATAAAACCCTGGTGAATTTCTATGTCACATTTCTGCTCAGGTTGCCTACTTCTGTAGAATTGGGGCTATAGTCTGAGAAATAGGGCTAAACCATTCAGGAGAAATGTTAGGATGCACTTCTACAAAGAATGGTAGAGATTTGAACTCTCTTCTACCAATGAAAATGGATGCAAAATCAGTTGTTAATTCTAAATGTGAGATTTTTTGTTAAGCAAAGGTATTAAGGGATATGGGCCAAAGGCAGGTATGTGGATTTATGTCACAGATCAACCATTATTTGATTGATGGAACAGGCTTAAGGGGTTGAATGGCATACTCCTATTCCTGTGTTTCCTAGTTGAGAATTTTTAATTGTCCATACTTAAAGAATAAATTGAACTAATAAATTCCTGCTCATGATGTTGATGGTAATGCCAGTTGGGCTATGTTGAACAGCATGGTTTTGTCCTTCATTGGAGCTGATGATCTTTTATACTGTATGGTACATGGGTTCTGGATTGGCAATTTGGGATCCAGCTGATGTACTTTTGGTTTCAGCTCTTGTATCTAACACTAAACTGTGTGAAGTGAGTCCTGTGGATTGTGTTGGTATTGATTGAAATCATGTCCGTTGTGCTCCTCCATGGCTGAAAACCACATTGCGACCCAGGGCGGGTTCCTGAGCTACAGGGAGGAGATGGTTGGGGAGGAACTTGACGATGACTTTTCCAATAGTCGATAGCAAGGAGATTCCCCTGTAGTTACCACAGTTGGCCTCGTTCCCTTTTCTGGAAATGCTTGTGACTATCGCATCTTGGAGCTCTCCCAGGATGCTTTCCTCCTTCCAGATAAGGCACATAAGGGCATGTAGCTGCAGCAAGAGTTTTTTGCCTCCCTACTTCAAAGCCTCAGCAGGGGTACCATGTCCTCCAGAAGCCTTGCTGATCTTAAGCTGGCAGATGGCCTTCACTACTTTGTGCAGAGCCGGGGTGTTGCTGAACTCGTGGCATGTAGCAAGCTGTGGGATGCATTCGAGGATGCTTGGATCGATGATAGAGCCCTGAAAAGAAGTAACAAATGCTGCATTGCTAATGCAAACAGCCGAGGGTGGTTTTTACAGTGCGACAGCTGCAGGAGAAATGCAGAGAAAAGAACCTTACCCTGTACATGGCCTCCTTTGACCTTCCAAAGGCCGTTGATATTGTCAATTGGGAAGCATTGCGGTGCGGCCTTCTCCACTTTGGTTGCACCATGAAGTTTGTCATCATCCTTTGCCTGCTCTGTGATGATATGGAAGTCATGGTAATAACAAATGGCTCCACCACCGAACCATCCCCCATTCGGTCCCCAGTATCAAGCAGGGCTGCGTCATCGCCTGAACACTGTTCTCGATCTACCTCGTTGCAGTGCTTCACCTCACCGCCGACAAGCTCCCTGCTGGAGTGGAGCTAACTCACAGAACCAGCAGGAAATTGTTCAATCTCTGTCACCTTCAAGCCAAAACCAAAGTCACCCCAACCACTCACCGAGCTGCAGTATGCAAATAATGCCTGCGTTTGTGCAATTTCGGAGGATGTGCTCCAGACCATCATCAGCACCTTTGCGGAGGCATATGAGAGCATGAATCTCATTCTGTATGTCCGCGAGATGAAGGTCCTCCACCAACCTGGCCTGGAATTGTGGAATGAATCCCCAATCATCAAGGCCCATGGGGAGGCCTTAAGAGAACATTGACCACTTCCAATACCTCCTGTCGGCCAAAGCAGTTATTGTTGAAGAGATCCAGCACCACCTCCAGTCTGCTAGCGCAGTCTTTGGCTGCCTGAGGGAAAGGGTGTTGGAGGACAACAACATCAGATGCAACATCAAGATGCTGGTTTACAGAGCTCTGGTGGTTTCCGGCCTTCTATATGGCTCTGAGACATGGACTGTCTACAGCAGACACCTCAAGGCACTGGAGCTATACCACCAATGCTGCTTGTGCAAGATCCTGCAAATCTGCTGGGGAAGAAAGACGCACCAATACCAGTGTCCTCAATCAGGCCAACATCGAGGCACTGATCATCCTTGATTGGCCACGATGGACTGGGCATGTCGTCTGTGTGACCAACACGAGATTCCCCAGCTTCAATACGGCAGGTGAGCCCCGTGTGGATAGAGGAAGCTCTTCAGGGATACTCTCAAGGCCTACCTGGTGAAGTGCAGCATTCCCACAGACCCCTGGGAATTACTGGCCCAAGACCATCCAAAGTGGAGGAGCAACAATCTGAAAGGTGTCAAGTACCTCAAGGCTTGCTATGCTGGGAGAAAGCAGAAGCCAGACGATTAAACAGTGTAAGGAGTGCACTGCCACACCAACACTCCACCCACCCTTTCCCACAACCACCCGCTGCCCGAAGTGTTAAAAAAAACCTGCATCAGTCTGAACAGCAACCTACAGACTCGCCCTGAGAGTGGAAGAGAGTTATCCTTGTCTGTAAGGGACAGCCAATGATGTTGGTATTTATTAAATTTTTTTAAAGTTAATAATGGAGTTGGGTACAATTAACAACGTTTAACAGGTATCTGGATGGGTGCATGAATAGGAAGGTTTTAGAGGGGTATGGTCCAAATGCTGTCACATGGGACTAGATCAGTTTAGGATATCCGGTCAGCACAGATGAGTTGGACTGAAGTGTCTGTTTCCGTGCTGCATGACTCTAAAAGATACTCCACACGTTTATGTAATGTGGAACAGATCGAGAATAAATTTCCATTTAGTGTTCCACAAGATAGTCCCAGATCATTTGGTTAGATCCAACACTGCTTGATCAAGCCCTTCCAACTGTGACATTTTTAAATGATGATAAGCTGTTTGCACGGCTCCTTTAAATGTACTTTATTCTTGGATTTGGTTGGTCTCCGAGATGAAAATTGCTGTATTCTGTTTTTGTGATGCTTGCCGTCCAATAGATATTTGATTCTTCTAGTTTAAAAATACTGCAACTCTTCTTAGCTTTGCTTACTGCCTAAGTAAAATCTACAGTGTGATGTCTAAATGTCATTGGCCTCCAGAGCTTCCGTTTCGGCCCTGCATTGACTATACCCCTCCTCATGGTCATACTTAAAAACAGCATTGCTGTCCATTGCCCACCCCTTCTACCAGT